TCAGCCAACTGCTGCAGCTGTGAGAGGATAACCACACAACTGCCTATAACAAGGAACCCTTACCCTGTTACTGAAAAGCTGCATGGCCCTTTTAAGGGCAGGATCCCTGTAGCACAGGCAGCCAGCAGATTGGGGGTTAAGGAACACCCCTATAGTCAGATCAGCTGACAAGGGAGTCATGTGATCAAAGAAGGGCTGGGCTTGAGCCATATAAGAGCAGAGCCTGAGTTGTGCAGGCTGGCTAGCTCTGAACCTATGGAGTGAGGAGCTCTTGGTAGCAGGGCTCCTGAGATGGCAGTGGAGAAGGAAGGAAGCAAATCTGCAGGCTTGGGAACAAGGGAGAGTTACCTGGGGCAGAGGGAGGCTCAATTAGGCAGACAGGTCACCTTTATTTTATGTTAAATCCTGTGAAGGTTTGGGTGTCTGCCAGAGGGCTGAGATGTTTTTGGTTTAAGTTGCACCTGTGGCTTATTCTTGAGCCCTGCAGATGGCAGGCTCAAGGCCTGCTTGGAGATCCAGTTGCCTAGCTAGGGGTGGAGCATGGGGGCCCCAGGGCCCAGAAGCCAGATCTAGCACAGTGGGCCTTGGCTAAGGGACCACCCAGAGTAGAGGGGTGGAAGCTGAGGAGGCTGAAACCCCAACAAGGGAAAGAAGGACTGAGGTGGCCTGGACACTTGGGGACAAGTGTCCCACCTGATCGGTGACCCCAAACACCTGTGAGGCATTGGGTGTGGCGTATGGGCAGATGGAGTCATGCAGTTAGCTCTTAAGGCTAGCTCAGTTTGGAGAGTTAACTGCTAGGGAGGGAAGTGAGCACCTTTGGCTTGTCAGTTTCTGAGGGCAGCCTCCCTTTCATAAAATTTCTCTCCAGATGTGGCAGGGGAAAAGGCAAGGTCTATGAGAGAGAGCCTAGCAGGGATGAAGAGCCCTGCAGGGGGCATCATAATGACCGTTGGGCACCTAACTATTACACTACCTGTTCGTCCATGCTTCTTTCCAATCTGCCCCCAGACTTAGGCTCACCGGACTGCTTGTCCCAGACTCTTCCATTCTGGCCTCGTTTTTCTGCCCTCTGCATTCAAATCAATTAGGTTTCCTCCTCCTTTTTTATTTGGTGTTAACCAGGGGGGTACGGAGAGTCAGCAAAAGAGGCTGCTTGTTCTTATAACCAGTAATTGGACCCACCCTAGGAGAGCAGCCATTACAGGGAGAATCCTTCTGAGCCCCCGCTGCCACGAACTTCTGGGCTGTATCATGTTCACTCACTGTTTTGAATGCGAGGGGGACACCGTGAGGGGCTCAAGCAGTCTCAGTGTGGTGAGGGTAAATGCTTTAAAGATGGTGAGGTGATTAGACACCAAGGTAATGGAGTATATAAGCAACCTCAGATGGACAGGCAGACAGCTTGCTAGTGCTCAAGGGCTAAAGTCCTACCCGCTAGCAGGATGTGGACACGTTTTGGTGAACCTGTCCAATAAGGCATATACAAGGTGATAAAGTCTGTGGTTTCACATCTGCCATTTCACAGCTGAACATGTGTGGAGAAGGGGAGGGAGTGGGGGAGGTTTGAACTTATGCTCTCTGCTTTTCAGTGGGGGAGAGTTGGAAGCAATGCAAGCATTTGGTTATACGGCCCTTCTTGGATTGCTTATTTGACTCATTGCTATTAAGATATTACAATACTTAAACCACCTGCAAACCTCCAAAACCAACTATGTTAAAAGGTTGCAAAGTCAGGTACTCAAACATTAGGTGATGTCTGAATCCATACTGCCCTGTGTGTCTGCTTCATGATATCATCTTTAGTTTCATGATCACTTTCTACTATTTCCATGGCCCCCTCTGCCTCTTCCTGTGCACATGTTGAAGCCATGATGCTCATGGACTGGCTAACACAGCTACCTTTTTTATCTGTCTCCTTTAAACTGGCCCCCTGCACCATTCAAATCTGACATTGAATCAAGTATCATAACACTTTCTTACCATAGGGGATTCCTTGGGCTACAAGCACTTTTTAAGCATTAATGTGATTTTAAATTAGTCAAAACTGGACTGCAGTATTTAGTGGCCAATCTGTGACCCTGAGGTCTGATTTTTCAGAACCCTTTGCATCACAGAGCCCCCCATGTATTTCCATGACTGCCTCCGGTAGCTGCAGTTAGTATTTAGCACTTCTGCCACTCAAAGCTCTGAGTCTCAAATCCAGCAGACAGTAAATGGGGAATACACCACTGGTAGCCACATAAATACTTTGCCCTGAGGTGCCCTGAGATCCTTTCAAGGTGCCACGGGTGCCATACAATGTTGGCACTGTTATGTATGCAGTTATGATTCACAAGATAAACCAAGAGATTTCAAATAAGAATCCACAGTATTAGAAATATTCTGTCCCGCTGTGTTCTTTCTGAGTTCTTTGCAACAGAAGACTTGTGCTATTATTTTTCCATGGTCAAAAAAGGAGTGAAAACTAAGAGCTGGCTTTTTCCAGAGGGGAGCCTTTGTGTCTTATGAGAAGTGCCTGAAATCTAAAAATGTTGGGAACCACTGCTCTAGGAGCAGTAGTCACCTGCCACAACCAGGAGAATTTCCTTTTTCTTCAGGCCCCTGCCTCATTTAATACTTACCTACAATCCCTGCCACAAAGGAGGCAGGAATCCTACAGATAACAGCTGCCTTCCCTGCCCAGCTCTGATGCATGTTCAGAGTGGGTCCATCCTGTGTTCTGCAAGAGGTAGGGATCTGGTAGCAAAATACTATCTCTTGCTTCTGTCTTCCATTTTACCAGGCTCCTCCATTTCCCACCTATGTATTCTGATAGTCTCAGATTCTCTGGTCCACTCCTGCTCCTATCTCCACTTCCTAACCTCCCTAACTATTGTGGGAGTCCAGGAGAGATTAACTCCTTGCTCTCCATTCTGTTTCCTGGTGTCCCATCAGCTTGGAGGAGCAATTTGTAGGGGAAGTATTGCTCAGCTCCTGTAGCGCACTCAGCCACTGACTGGTGGGTGCAGAGCCTGCGTAGTCCATTTGTCAAGGGGAATCTCCAGTGAGGTGTAAACCCCTCCTTTTAAACTTGTAGAGAACAGGTAACACACAAGGCCCTGTGCCCAGTGTAAGCTGTGGAGTAGCAGGCTGTTAAGACCTCTGAAATGATGCAGTGAACTGGCAAGACCAGCAGAAACCAAACAAAATAAGAGCAGCTCTGAGGAAGCACTCCCCTACCTGCCTCCCTTCACTGAGGAAGTGGCTTAGGGATCAGTAGCGTCTGACTCTGATGAAGTATGAGCACTGGGCTGAAACGTGCACAATGGATATGGGGAGGTCTGGAGCCCATCTCCTGAGCAGGAAGAGAATATAGCTGAATGACAAGATAAGGTTGAATTATGTGGGGGACTGCAGAAGAGGGCATGAACATATTTTGGGATACTGTTAATTGCAAGGTACCAGTACAAATAGAGAGACTGTTGGAGCATTGCAGGCACAGAGGGCCATGTGCAGGAGTGCTAAGCGAGATCATTTGAACTGTTTGAAATAAATATTAGATAGTCACTGCTACCTGGAAATAGGGCTGGATAAAGCCTTGGAGAGCATAGGGACAAGAGTTGCAGGTAGGTTCCCTCATATTTAAGGAGCACTGGGTCCAGAGTTTCTAGGCAGACTTCATTGTGGGCTGCAAGGTGGAAACTACTGTTTTAATACTGAAGGGATTTTTAGAAGTGGCTAATGAAGGACTCCAACGTACAAGCTCACAGTTCTTTGCTGCCTGTTGTAATAAAAATTCTTCTGATGGAATTTGGGAGTATATGGTTTTCCCCACCCCTGGGGAATACCATATTTACTCATATACCACACACCCCTTTCCCACAAAATTAGCCCCCCAAAACTGGGGTATGTCTTAAGCAGGGAAGCTAATTTTGTGTCTGGACTAGAAGTACCGAGGTTGGATTGATTTAAATCAAGGCAATTTAAATAATTGATTTATCTTTTCTAAATCATGATTTAAAGCATCAAGAGAAAATCCCCGAATTTAACCTTGTAGAGAACAGGTACTTCTTCACATTCCTTAAACAATGGTGCAAATCTGATCACTAAAACATGTTAATTTACAACTCAATACAGCATTTTACAACATCTGTCCTTAAACTCTTTTTAAATTTTTCAAATTTTATTCACTCTTAACATGTCATAACACTAAACATACGCTGTCCTTAAAAATTCTACAACTAGATCTCATCTTCTCCACTCCCACTGTCATTTTTATTCATAGACTGAAACAGAAATACGAGTTTTCCCGCTTTTCAACTCCCAGTCGATTTAGCTGTGAGTGAACAATACCAAACAATTAAAATATTCTCTCTGTGCCTGCAGAGGAAGCTACTACTGTGAAAAGTTGGCTTATTAACTGAAGGAACTCTGTTTTAAGGTGCCTGGCTAATGATTTCCACCAATTCAGGGGAGTGACTTTGTTCAAAACATCATCAGTAAATATGTACAGGCAATCCTTGACTTACAAAGTTTCGAGTAACAATGTTTCACACTTACAATGTTTATGAATTGACACCCTGTTTCAACTTTATGATGTCAGTTTCAACTTTACAACGCTTGATCCAATGCCAATCCATGCCAGTGAACAAGTTCGCTGCATCGCTCATCTCCCTGGAGAACATCTGTCCAAGCTTCCTTGGACACTTTCTTTAAGAAAGCAGACAAGACTCCAGAAAAACCTGCAGCCAAGACTCCTGAGAAGACTCCAGCCAAGAACCCTTCAAAAAGTCCAACCAAAAGCCTTTCAGAAAGTCCAGCAAAGTCACCTCCAAGAAGTCCTTCCAAATCAATATGATTGCTATTTACAATATAAATACATTAATGTAGCTATATTACTCATCCATAATTGATCGAGTACAAAATTCTGGGGTATTTTTGGTAAAAATAGGGTATCAGGCCCTGGTTCAAGAACCAATCCCCCATTTATAACATTGTTTCTTATGAAAAAATTGGTTCCGAATTACGACGTTTCAACTTAAGACACGGTTTTCAGGAACCAATTGTGTCGTAAGTCCGAGGACTGCCTGTACTGTTTAAATCAGGCGTGGGAAAACTGCAGCCCGCAGGCCAGATGTGGCCTGCCAGACCATTCTATCTAGCCCGCGGGGCCCCTAAAAAATTTAGATAATTAATATTTATCTGCCCCTGGATGCCTGTTATGCGGCCCTCGATGGCTTGCCAAAACTCAGTAAGTGGCCCTCCATCCAAAATAATTGCCTGCCCCTGGTTTAAATGGTTCCCCTCCAGCCCTGAAATGTATTATGATTGGCATAACTGAGGATTGATTTTGAAATGCCCATGCCATGGCAGCATCATCTTCTTCAGAAGTTAGGCATCTACCGTTATATCTGGGGTTGAGAATGTTCACAAGAAAATGAGGTGGAGTTAGTACTTGATCCATTCACTTCTTTATTGCCTGCAGTTTAACTTTCTGGTTGGGTATTTCTTTCTTCGATGTTTCTTGAAGTGCCTTCCAAATTTCGACAGCATCAGCAATGTAGCAAAAATCTCTCTGAAGTTTGTTTAAGGCTATAGATATAGGCTTCTGTATACTGAGCATATCCTCTACTTTCCTCTTTAATTCAATGTTAGATACTTTGGGTGCAGTGATGATGCGCAGGGGATGCATGGGGGTGCACATGCACCTCTTGAGAGCGCTGGTGCACCCCCTGTCAGGCCACGCTCCCTGTTTAGGTGACAGGCTGGGGGAAGGCTGGAGCACCGGTGCTGCCTCTGCAAGCGCTGGCTGAGAAGTGGGACCACCAGCAGAAGTGGCTGCGCCACTTCCGGAAGTGGCCTTGGGAGTTCTGAAAGCGGTGCAGCTGCTTTTTGGTGACTGAGATTGGCCCCAGGGGGGATCCCCCAGTCAGTGAGATTGGCTGCTGGGGGACCCCCGCCATGGTTGCTGGCTGGTGTCAAGAGGCACCAGTTGCCTATTGTACTCTCCCGTGCCATTCACCCATGCGCCGTGACTGTAGGGCCTTTTCTGGTTTCACCATTGCTTAAGGAAGAGGCAGGCTTGTTACTGGGTTAGATCTTGGAAGGTTCTTCAGGGGGTTTTTCCTGCCATGTCTTGCTGGAATAAATTATTGTAATTGGGAGGAAGATGGTTTGTCCCACCCTTCCTGGTATCTTCCTTCAATCTTCCAGATTATCTGTCCTACTTGGGGTTCCGCCTCCCCTACACTCCACCCAACATCAACCAAAAATGTTGTTTCCGGATTTCTGGAGTTTGTACAGTATGAACTCTGGTGTTTTGTCCCTCTGAATTTATGATGGTTGGATTGGGATGTTATCTCATCTGACTTTTCCCTGACCATACTTGGTCCTGCCTAAGCATCTTCCAGACCCCGGGTTACCTTGCTTCCTGGCATCTCTCTCTCTTTCTTGGCTCAGTACTTGCTGCGGTTCAGACATCCATCTCTTCTTGTCCCTTCAGGTCCCACCTGGATCCAGTAGAGGCTAGAGATGTCCAACGTCCATGGTGCTTCTTCAGGTAAGTCACTGAGCCTTGTCTGGCTCTGCCTATCTTGGAAAACCCCTTCCTGGGGAAGCCACCATGTCCCTCCAGTGGGGCTCTGTTCTGTTCCTAGCCACTCTGGGCCAGTCAGGGAATTTGCTTCCAGTCCCCAGAGCTGTTCTTCCACCGGGCTTTTTATCCCAGTCTCAGGGGGCCAGCTAGGAAATCATCCCTGGCACGCTGCCATAAAGCATGCCCACGCTGACGCAGGAGCTTGTCCCGGCTCCTCCGAGCTCCGCTGTTCTTTTTCCTTTTTTTCTTTTAACACAGCATCTCCCGCCATGGTTTAACTTTTGCCGTGCTTTTGTTCCTGTGTGTCATCCCGCTGGCTCCATTCCTTGCCAGGCTGGGGTAAGTCTTTCCTGTCACACATCCCCCCC